TCAAGTCTTTTCATTGTGCCATTGTGCCATTATGAGTCATAATTCTCAGAAACTTTCCTGGGTGTGAAATTTCTTGTTATGCCTCAGTTCTCACCTCAAAGATAGCACTCATTGGTTCAGAGGTTACCTTCTGCATGAAGCCTTTCTAGATCCACTCCATTGGTAGCATCTTTGCCTTGAAATTACTTTGAATGTACGTTAATATTTTTATGTGTAAATGTTGTTTCCCAGAATTTAAGGAATGTTAGCTCCTTGAGTGCAAGGACTGTTTCAGTCAGTCAACATTTATGAAGTGTTTGCTGTGTCCTAGACACTGAGTGAAGCTCTGGGGATACAAAGAAAGGCAAAATAAAAACTCAGAAAAACTGCACTAGAAACAGTTACCAGTCCCTACTACAATGCCCAGCACTGTAGATACTTAAATACTTGATTTATTGATAAATCATGTAGGAGAAAACCTAGGACAGAGGGAACTCTTGAATTTTCCCTATCCTGGTCCCAGGGAGACCAGTGGAGCATTACAGAATCTCAGATTTGGAAGGGACCTCAGAAACTATTGAGTCTAATCCAAAATTAAGGAAAAAGTTTTTCTACAACATATTCCCACCCAACACCCCCTAGTCATTGGAATTTAGGTATGTGACCCAACTGTGAGACAACAGAAGACTTCCCTGAGAGTATGAGGGAGCTGTCTCTACCTCCATCCTTCACTTACTGTTTGTCTGCAGTTTCATTGAGAACACTTTTATTAGTTCTTATTAATGTACAGTTTTAAAAAAAGCTCTTATAAAATATGATGATTCTAAGCATTGTTTACAAAGTGATTTGTGAGAAATTGATAGGTTTATTAATGATAAATCTATTTGAGAGCCTGTTGGAATCCTGAATAATTTCCATTCTTTCACAGGAGTTTACAACTAATAGAAAATGTGGGAAAATTATACTTGATATGTTTGAATTATAACCCAAGTACTTTAAAAATTCAAGTGTATAATACTATGTGCAAATGTTTTTACATGCCTATGTTTATGTTTAGTATGTAAATTTGGATTGACTTGATTTTGTCAGAGATAAAATTGTTAAACTTTTTTTTTGGACTTATTTAAAGAGGTAGTAAGGATAAAATAGGAGTTTGCATTTGATCAACAGAAGTTTCATTAGTTGAAAATTTCTTTTAATAAAAGTTTTGTTGTATTTTAAAGTTTGAGTAGATATTCTAGCCAAAGTGTACTACTTGCTATTCTCCTAACTCCAGCATTTGATGTCTTCATGCCTTTGCAAAGGCTGCCTCCATTGCTGGAATGTGCCCATATCACATCAGTATTTAAATCTCTGATTTTAAGTTCATGTGCTTTCTTTAGGGGAAAACCTTTCCTGATCCCTTTAACATTTACTTAGTTATGTATGCTGGGCAGATCACTTAACTTCTGTGTCTCAGTTTCCTTATCTGTAATATGGGGATTATAATAGCAGGTACCTTACTGGGATGTTGTGAGGATCAAATGAGATAACATGTAAAGTCATTTGTAAACCGCAGAGCACTGCATGTTAGCTATCATTATGTTAGGCACTTAAATGCTTTTTGGTATTCTATTATACTCTAGTTGTAGTAAAGTTTATCTTACCTTCAAGAGTCAATTTCAATATGTGAGCAAAGCCTTTTAAAGATGGAGAATAAGTTTTTATCCAGTGCCTATGTGCCAAGAATTGTGCTAAGTGCTTTACAAATACTGTCTCATTTGATTACCAAGCAAACTATTTTCTTTCTAAGAGAGGGAAATAGGATGTTCTGGTTAGTGGCCTTCTTGCTGTTTCTTAAACAAAACACTGCATTTTCCTACTCTACATTTTTGCTGGCTAACCCCCATGCTTGAGATATACTTCCTAATCTTGGCCTCTTAGCTTCCCTGACTTCCTTCAAGTCCGATCTAAAATCTCACCTTCTAGAGGAAGCCTTTCTCAATTCTCCTTAACTCTAGTGCCTTCCTTGTGTTGGTTTTTTCCAGTTTATCCTGTGTATAGCTTGTTTGTACATAGTTGTTTCCATGTTTTCTCCTCAGATTGTGAACTCCTAGAGAGTAAGGACTATCTTCCTTAGAACAATACCTGGCTTATAGTAGATGCTTATAAATGCTTATTGAATAACTGACTGAAATCTATTATTGTCAGTTACATAATTCTTTAAGGTTTGTACAGTCCTTTACATTCATTCTGGTATCTGAGCCTCATAACACTCATAATAGTGCCTTTTCCAGACCTTTTCATTTTTTCTCAATCCTTCAGTGGTGCGCACTCCTCTCATTCTCTGAGCTGAAAATCTTGCCTCACATTTCCTTAAAAAAATTGGTAGTTCCTTCTCTCCTCCTCCTCCTCAAGTCATCCTACTCATATGTCTTCTGGCACTATCTCCTCCTTCCCCTTTATCATATGACAAGACACCCTTCTTGCTAATGCCAGCCCCTCTACATGCACAAATCATCCAATTCTATCCCATCTTTTCTAGCAGATTGACTTGTCTATCATCCCCACTCTCTCATTAATCTTTCATCTCCTCCTATCTATTGGCCCTTTCCCTACTGCCTACTCACTCATCTCTCTCCTGTCCCCCCAAAAAACCCTCCTCACTTGATCTGTTCCACCCGTACTAGCTGTTGTCTTAAATCTTTCCTCCCTTTTGTGGCTAAATTTGAGAATACCACCTACAGTTGGTACCTTTACTTCCTCTCCTTTTGCCTTCTTCTTAACTTTGGTTCTATAAAGTTTTCTTCAAACCTCATCATTTAACTGAAATGATTTTTTCCAGAGTTACCAACAATTTTTTAAATAGTTAAACCTGGTAGCATTTTCTTATCTAGCCTTTGACACTGGAGAAATCACCCTCTTCACCTCAATATTCTCTTCTCCCTAGTATTTCATAACACTGCTGTCACCTGTTTCTGTTACCAGCTAGCTAACAATTCTTTCTTAGGCTGCTTTGCTGAATCTTTGTCCAGGTCACCTTTACTAACCTAAGGCTCTGTCTTGGGCCCTTTTCTCCCCCAATTTTATTTGGCTTGATGATTTCATCACCTCTCATAGATTCAGTTATCATCTTTACATTGACTATTCTCAGGTCTACTTAGCTAGTCCTAACCTCTCTCCTGACTTCAGTCTTATATCTTCAGTTACCTATTGGACATTTGCAGTTGATTGTGGTACAGATATATTAAACTCACCATTTCCAAAATTGAATTTATTATCTTTCTCACCAAGCCTTCTTCTTAACTTTCCTATATCTGTTTGAGAGGACCATCATCCTTGAAGTCACCTAGGATCCTAATCTAGGTGTTGACTTCTCACTCAACCTCACCTCTCCATATTCAATTAATTACTCAAGTTCTGTTGAGTCTACCTTTGCAGTATTTATCTGCTTTTATTCACTTTGCATTTATATGCTCCATTATCTGCTTGGGCACTGCTGCCATCTTGGCGCAGGCCCTCGTTATCTCATGCCTGAATTGTAGCAGTAGCCTTCTTAGTTTCTCTGAAGTCTCTTGCATCCTTCACTCAGCTAATTGATTTCTCTAAAGAGGTCTGATCATGTGAAACTCTTGTTTAGTAAATTTAAGTGGCTCTCTGTTCCCTCCATTTATTGTTATTATTATTTTTGGGTATCATAGCCCTTTATAATCTATACCCTTCCTACCTTTACAGTCTTCTTATACCTTATTTCCTAACCCAAGTACCCTGGGTTCCATGACTGTTGCCTCCTTGTTGTTCCTTGATTAAGGCACATTTCCTGATTTCAGATAATTTCTCCATACTTTTTCATCTATCTCTGTTCCCCTCTCCAGAATTTTCTCCTTTATCTCCTCCTCTAGGATTCCTTGAAGTTCTGGCTAAAAGCTTACCTTTTATAAGAAGTCTGTCCCAATCCCCCTTTAATTATATTTTTTCCCCACTATTGCTTATCTCCAATTTATTCTCTATGTATCTTGTTTGTATTTAGTTGTTTGTTTTTTCCCCCAATGAATTGTGAGCTCCTTGAGAGCAGGGATTGGTTTTTGTCCTTATATCCCCAGTACTTTGCATTGTGCCTGGCACAAAGTAGCTTTAACCAACTGACTGACAGTACTTTTATGAAGAACCCTGTACAGATATTATTTTCCCCATTTTACGGGTCAAGGAACTAGGCTCAGGGAGGTCAAGACATTCCACTAATAAGTAGTGGAAGTAGGATTGGAGCCTAGATCTTCTGACTTCCAATCCAGTTCTTTTCTTATCTACTATTCATACTGCTTCTCAAAACTGTAGTTAAAGGAGTGATAGCATAAATATTATGGGTAGCTTAAGGGTCAAAAAAAATAGAATACAAGTAAAATATAGTGCTTTTTAAGATTTACAAAAAACTTAAGATATCATTTTTAACATATCATTTGACCCTACAGCAACCCTCTGAGGTAGGTGCTATTTTTCTGCCTGTCTTATAAAGGAGGAACCTGATGCTTTATGAGGTTAAGTGACTTGCTTGTGGGCACACAGTTAATATTATCAGGCAGAATTAGAACCTAGGTGTCTCTTGATTACCATTTCAGTGCTTTTTCCATTATACATCACTGGCTTTCTTATTATCACCGTTTTTCAGATGGAAAAGATCTTGGAACGGTCTGTGGTCAGATACCTGTTAAATGTATGAGGTGGGATTTGAATCCCAGATTTTCTCATTTCTGTGTCCAGTATTACTTTGAGAATACCACACTGCATCCCAAAACATTATTCACTTTATTGTAAAACAGAAAGGATTTCAAGATTTTATGCTTCTTTGGGGTCAGCATCATGAACATCAGTTATAATTATAGTGGTGAACTTTGGAAATTGAAGTTAATTAAAGTTGATAGGAATTCTAAAAATCATACTTTTTGTTATTTTTCTGGTGTTGTTACTGATTCCTCTTTAAAACTGTGATGTTTTGTGTTTTTTATTTAAATACTTTGTCATAGTAACTTCTTGCTTTCTTTTAGCCCCATATGTTTTGATATGATTGAAGAAGCATACATGACGAAGTGCGGCCACAGTTTCTGGTAAGATACTTTTGTTTATTGAAATAGTGTTTTTGGAACTTCTAACTAAATTCATTCACTTTCCCAACTTACACATTGTTTGTATTTCAGCAATTTCAAAGAATGGTAAAAGTCCAGTTAAAATGAGTAGTTGCTCTGAAATTACTAGATTTATCTTAACCCTGTAGATTGATTTAAAAAAGTTTCCTGTCATGTCTTGCACCTCAAGGCAGTGAGTATAGATAGCTTGAATATAATTACTGGTATTTAACTTTTATTGACATTTAGTGCTTTCAGAATTCTCATTTTATTTTAGGCTGAGTTATTTCTGTCAACTTGAGCCTTTACTTTGGAGTTTTTAACCTTTAGTTTCTATTTTGGGTTTTTAAATAAATTTTAATTTTCTGCAGATTTAACTTGATTTTGAAAATAGTGTTCCCAAATTATCTGATTATTTCCATAGCAATATAGTTTGGAATTGTAAATTTACTACTCCTGTTTAAAGTTGGTAGGATGATAAATTGAAAACTTTTAAGTATTCAAGATGAGGTGGAGATGGGGAGAGGGAAGAAGCAATTTATTTAGTGTCTATTATGTATCAGGCACTGTACTAAGTGCTTTACAAATATTATCACATTTGATTGTGAGAACAATCCTGGGAAGTAAGTGCTGTTATTATTTCCATTTTATAGTTGAGGAAACTGAGGCAAACAAATTAAGTGACTTGCGCAGAGCCACACAGCTAGTTAGCATTTGAGGCCAAATTTGGACTCAGATCTTCCTGACTCTAGGTTTAGTGCTTTATCCACTGTGCCACCTAATTGCCCAATGGCTTTTAAGCTAGAATCAACAATTAGTAAGCCCCAGCTGTGTGTCAGAAACTCGTAGTAGGTACTGGTTGTTCTGAGACAGAAAATGAAAATCTCTACTTGTAAGGGGCTTAAATTCTAATTGTGGAGGCAACGAGTATATACAAGTATATAAAGAATAAATATAGAGAGAATGAATACCAATAAATACAAAATAGTTATTCAGGGTATTTTGGGAGAAAAGACATTAATAGTTGGGGAATCAGGAAAGTTTTCTTATAGAAGTTGGTGCTTGACTTGCCTCTTGAAGGAAGAGAGGGATTGATTGAAGTGGAGTTGAGGAGGGAGTGTAGTCTAGAAATTGTGAACTTCATATGCAAATAACCAGAGCTTGGTGATGGAGTGTTGCGTGAGGAGCAGACAAAAGGCTAGTTTGGCTGGATTTCAGTATCTGGAGTGGAAGTGGGGAGGGAGCGGAATTAAGCCCTGTGAGGCTAGAAAGATAGGTTAAGTACAAGTTATGAAGGGCTTTAAAAATGAAACAGGAGTTTCTATTTTATCCTAAAGGGAACTGGAATCCACTGGAATTTATCAAGTAAGAGAGTGATAAGATCAGTTCTGCATTTAAGGAAAATCATTTTGGCAGTAATGTATAGGTTGCTCTGGAGTGGGGAGACACTTGAGATAGGTAGATCAATTAGGAGATTGATTCTAGATGATTAGTGCTGAGGGCCTGAATTTAAGGTGGTAGCTGTGTGACCAGAGAGGTTAGATGCAAGAAATATCGTAGAGGTAGAAATGGCAAGATTTGGCAAGTGCTTGGTTATGAGAAGTGAGAGTGAGGTAGGAGTTAGTGTAAAGATTACAGTCCTGGAAGTCTGGAATAGGTATAGTGCCTTTGATAGAAATAGGGAAGTTTGAAACAGGGGTAGGTTTGAGAGTGGGAGAAAGATGAATTCTATTTTGGACATTCTGAGTTTTAGATGATTTCACACTGGCATATCTAGTGTGAAATGTTCAGTAGTCACTTTAATAGGATATTATCAAGATGAGAATTTAATCATGGGTGTTAATGAAATTTCCAAGAGAGTATATAGAGAGAAAAAAAAAAGAAAAGAAGGAAGGAGGTTTTACTACAGATACAGAGCCTTGGGGAACACCTATAGTTGGGGGAGGCATGCCATATATCATCCAGAAAAGAAGCCTGAGGAGTGGTCAGGCAGGTGAGAGGAGAATCCGGAGAAAGAGAGACAAGAAAGTAGGAGCAGAGCCAAATGCAGCATGTAGAAATTGAGAAAGATCAGGACTAAGAAAAGACCATCACATTTGCCATTTTAGAGATTATTTATAACTTTGGAGAAAGCAATTCTAGTTGGAAGCCAAATTTGAAAGGGTTGAGTGAGTAAGAGGAAAGGAAATGGAGGCAGAAGCTGTTTCTGAGAACTTGACTAAGAAAAGAAGTGATATATGATAATGTCTTGAGAGTATGGTAGGGCCTAGTGAAATTTTTTCTTTTTTTTCTTTAAGGTTAAAGGAGACAGGTCAGTTTAAAGTAATGGACAAGGAAAATATGAGAGGGGAAGGAGGTGTAGAGAGGAAGGCAGGAGGGAGAGGAAGAAGACAGGAAGAAAAAGGATAGAGATGGAGAGAGGTAAGAAGAGGGAGGGAGGAGGGAAACAGACATTGTGATTGTAATTGTAATTATGTGGGCAGAAAAGGGATCCAAGGCACTGGTAATATGATTGGGCGATGAGGGAGTGGAAGATGATGTCATGGGCTTTTGAGATGAAATGAAGGGGAGTTTAGAGGGTTTAAGTTGAATGGCCTCAGTTTTCTTTGTAAACAACCATAATATGGGCATAATATATATGTATATATGTGTGTGTGTGTGTGTGTGTGTGTGTGTGTATATAACATAATGGAAGCACATAATTATTTTTAGTTTGTATGATAATCTAGTTTATTAATTTGTTGCAATATTGTATTTGCTTATCTTGTTTCTGCCACTTTTTAGATTACATTTCATAAGGAATATATGAGATGTGTAAAACACTTTTCAAACTTTAAAGCATTTAAAATTTTAGCTATTATTATTATTATCATCAGTATTATTACTGTTGTTAAAGGGCAGTTGATGCCATATGTTTTAACCTTAACAAATATGTGCCTTTTCTGTGCAAGGCACTGTGATAGGTTCTGGGTTATACAAAGATGAAAAATGATATGGGTACTTAAGGAACTTGAATGAATGAATGAATGATTGAATGAAAAAGCATTTATTATGTACTTATTATGTGTTAGGAACTGTGCTAAGCACTGGGGATACAAATGCAAAAATGAGATAATCCCTGTTCTAAAGGAGCTTATATTCAAATAGAAGCAGCTAATAACATTGTATAGCACTTAGGCACAGTGGTTGGCAAATAGTAAGTCCTATATAAATGTTAGTTGTTGTTGTTATTGTTAAATTATTACTACTATTACGTATAGGGTAGTATGGTAGCCAGGGAAAGGTGTTTTGGTCAGGTAAGACAGTAGGGATTGTAAATGAAATAATGGAGCAGTTGATTGATATGTCATTTCTAGAAAGCAGTGGTAATGTTGCATTAGTACTAATACCAGAGCAAGAAGTAGAAAGTGTGGGGCTGGAGGAGAGCCAGAAGATGGCTGAGGTGAAATATAGTTAGGCTGGTTAGATAAGGTAGGCTTTTTGCCAATCAGAGTAGGAGTGCCATTCCTAAGTGACTTAGCTCCTCTAGCCCATGATAGCAGAAGAGAGAGGCAAAAATCTGGAATGTTTCTGTAGAGCTCTCTACTGAGAATAAGGATATCTGGGTTCTATAATCCGTATCCATAATAACATTTTAGAATCATAGATTTAAATTGGGAGGGACCTCTAATTCCATTCCCTCAATATACAAATGAATAAACCAAGAGCCAGGAATGTTAAGTGTGTTATTCATGGTCACAGAAATAGTAAGCATCACAAGTAGTTTTGGAACCTAAGTCCTTTGATTCCAGAAAGCACTTTGCTTTCTGCAACCTTAGGGGCTAAAAAATCCTTTTAAGTTCAGTGCCTGGCACATTGCCTTTCCTCTCCAACTTCTGCTGTCATAGTAGGGCACTTCAACATACATATTGATACTCCCTCAACTATTTAACCTTCCAGTTCCTCAGCTTACTCATTTCTCATAATCTGCTTCTCCATTTTACCTCAGCTATACACAAAAAGAATCATATACCTTGATCTTTTTATCATCCACAAATGCACCATTTCCATGTTCTTTGAGCTTTGAAATTCCTTTGTTTGATCACAACCTATTGTCATTCCACCTCATCTTTTGCTTTGCAACCCTACACCCTATTCTTAGTCCTTGTCATGTTCTCCAGTCTCTCAGTCCCTCAGTTCTTTCCCAGAGCATCATCACTCCTTAAGTGGCATCACTGTTCTCCTTTCCTGATTTTTTTTTCTCCTTTCCTCATCTTGACCCCTTGGTGAATCAGTTCAACTGTATGCTGTCATTTTCTCTCAGGACCCTTGCCCTCTTTTCATATTGCTGATTTTCCCCTGCCAAACCTCCACCTTAGATTATTCCCACCATCTGCTGCCTTCACTCCTTTGTACCTGCTGCTAAACAAAGCTTGAGAGAACCACCTAACTGTACTGACTGGATCCACTACAAGTTTATGTTACATAATCTCATCTGGGCCCTCCCTACAGCAAAGCAATCGTTTTACACCTTAATTGACTTGCTATGCCACTCATGGTGGCTTTTCCAAACCTTTTGTTGTTCCTCAGACTTTCCATTAACTTCCCCTACACCTCTCCTTTCAACTGCTTGCCTTATGTTTCACTGAAAAAAATGAGGCCATTAGCAAAGAGTTCTGTCTTCTCCCCTCATCTCACTTTACTCAAATACCTTCTGTCACTATCTCCTCTTTCACACTTCTCACATAAAGAGGAGGGTCTTCTTTGATTTGTTAAATTAGAATGCTGTGACGAACTGGTTGCAGTGGTTTCTTCTGTTTCTAAGATTCTGTGAAATTTCATATTTTTGCCTCAGATTTATGATATGCCTATAATTTTAAAAATTAAATAAAAATGACTTTGGCTTGGTGGGTGAGTGAGATAAGTATTATTTGAGAATAAGAAGAAAAATTTAGAATTTCAGAGTGTCAGTCTAATCTTGTAATAGTTGTTCGAAACTTTCC